AGCTGAGGGGAGACCCCTGCTGTGGGCGAGGGGGCAGCTGAGGGGAGACCCCTGCTCTGGGCGAGGGGGAAGCTGAGGGGAGACCCCCGAGGGAGGGAGCAGTGAGGGGACAGTCGGTGCCAGCTTTGCAGCGGGGGCTGGCTGGCGTGCTCAAGAGCACAGTGGGAAGCAGTGTGGAAGCCCTAGAGCAGTCTGCTGCCATCCTCTCAGTGCTTCAACCAGAGGCTAAACCAGTGGCATTGGCCCAGCACACCGAGGTTACTTGCTGCATCACCAGGTGTGGAGCCTGAGACTAAATATTGAGCATATTAGTCCTCTTCACAGTTGCCCAACTCTCAAACCAGGTGCTAAAGCAGGGTAAAATCCAATTTGTAGTTTCTGGTGCTTTTTCTGACACATCTGGTCTGCTCTTCCAACAAGATCATTGCCACTTTCGATGGGTCTGAAAGGCTGAGAGCACTGAAGAAACATGAAGTGATTGGTTGACCTTTCAAAACTTTAGGCCTGAGTAGTAAGAAAGAGATTGATATTTTATGTGGTGTGGAATTGAATCTAGATATGACAGTGTTTGCATTCATGATTGTGCTTGTGGTATCTTTTTCATCTTCCTGTGAAGCTTTCTACGTAGCTTTTTCTCCATAACAAGTCAGTGCGTCCTGAAAAGAATTGATTCAGTGTAAATCTTAGTGATTGTTCTGTGATAAGCCTCTGTGACATCTTGATATAAGTGAGGATTTAGTGATGCAGCTGTTGGAGGGGCATCACTCTTGGCTTTTGTTTTGGGGGCTATTCTTCATCTGCACCTGCCACACACTTCAAGGTATTGGCGTTACCTATGGCCGAGGCTGGCAGGAGGTGCACTTCCTTGTATGATGGTGCTGACTCTTGTTGATTTTGTTCATAACAAGAGCTCACAGACCTCTCCTTTCTTCTTTCTGCCACTGCTGCTTGCATGCTTCCCAACATTTTTCTTTGTTATTGGATTTATTTCTCATCCCGCTGCTTGTGTCTCAAAAGAAGATTCCTAGCATTTACTGAAGGTAAGAGAAAGGCAGGTGCCTTTCTCTTGTGGATTGCGTGTATGTCCAAAATATATGGCCTGAGTGCCTGTCATTCTCAGTATTAGTTGGAGTGCATCATCCATGAATGTGCAGGCTTTGGATGCCTATTTTTTTCCCTGTAAAGGCTAACAGGACAGTCTTTTTGTTGAAATGAGTGTGTCACTTGGCTTCTGTGTCTTTGCTTTTCATGGACGGTGTAGGTAGCCTTGGATGAGCTGCTTCCTCTGGCTCTCAGAAATGCACTTTGAGATGTTATTTTGGGCATACAATTGTTCTGAGATGCTTGCTCAGTTGGTGACTATTTCTCTGCAAATCAGTGCAAATTGTTGTTAGTCATCCAATACTAGGAACTTCCTGAACACACAGCCTCTGCCTTCCTTGCATCTTTCTCCTTCTCTGATGGAAGAATACTTTGACACAGGGTGCTGTGAGGTCCAAGACCTCATGTACAATATATTTCAAGATCCTTAGTGCTATGAAAGGTGAAGAGGTGGTGCTCTGTTTTTCATGACTGATTTAGGGACTGTAGACATGCAGGGCTATGGGAAATACTGTGTTGCTGGGCAGGTTTTGTTGAACACATTTACATGCTCATGCTAGAACTAGTTCATATTCATACTAGAGGTGTTTTTGTTCTTTCTCCTTGTTTTTTTCTCTCCTAAACCCCACATAAGTATCTGCACTTTGTTCAGCCACCTACTGCATTTGCAAACTTCTCCAGGGCCAAAGGAGGGCAGTTTATGAAGCGGGAAGGAGCCAGAGTGCAGATTGTTTGCCTTTACGTATAAGACTTACTCTTGCAAAGGCTATTGACACTAGAGTAGGATGCTTCAAGCCCAGGTCAGATCGGAGCTGAGCCCAGGAGCTGTGCTCTGCAGCAGATCAGGCTTGTTAAACATTGGAACAGCACTGGAGATGGCTGTGTTTTGTCCCAGGGCCAGGCTGAATATAGGTACTAATTAAAACCTGCTTATCAATAACTGGCAGCTTTTGAAAAGCTACAGCTCAAAAATGCTTTGGAGGCGAGCTAATAGAGAGCATGCAGAACCATAGTGCTTTCCCCTCTGATTATTTCATCCTTAATTGATGAGGTTTTTAACAGAATAAATTATATTAAACAATTAAGTGGAACAAAGAAAGTTACTCCGTGTCCAGACTCTAGTCCACTGTCTTGTTCTCTTAATTAGTGATAGAGCCTAAAATACTTTACTGGTGGTTTCCTCATTGGTTTATATTAGTTTATAAAGCACTCCAGACTCACCAGTCTGGCAAGCAATACCTCTTTTTGTCTGAGCTCTTGTTTCTAGGCCTGTCTTATTGATGCTCTAACTGTCAGCAAGCTCCCAGCCCCGGGGATGGAAATAGGTCTTTGGGGATAACAATGGAGCACAGTTACTTTCCAGCTAATGAGTCCACCTCGGCTCATAGATAGTTACTTCTGGAGGGGATGACAAAGGAATGCCCTTTCTGCTCAGCCTCCCCTAACAGCTCTGAAGACATCCAGTTAATATTACTTAAGAGGGAGCTCTGTTTGCTTGGTGTTCTTAAAACATTTGCCCCAAAATGCTCAGTGTGTTTTTAAAGTATGGGCATGGTTAGAAAGTTGCTTTCCCATAGCACTATCCCCGGAAAGACTTTGACTCTCTTTATTTTGCAGGTGGGGGTTCCAACCCATTCCAGCACCTGGAGAAGAGTGCAGTCTTGCAAGAGGTAAATCCTCAGATGATCTCCTCCGTGTACCCCTTTCTGAATAAAGTCTCTCCCTCCTGAGTAGCTCACTGGAGAACTTCAGCAAAGTGGGGGTTTGTTACAGTCCTGCTAGCTCTGAAAGAAATGGGCAGCACTCCCATTAGTTCTTATTTTATTGTTGGAGGGAGAAAGGGAGAAAGTTGAAATGGTCTCTGTGACTATAAATAGAAAAAGACTGAACTATAAATAGTAATAAAATGAATAAAATTATCTGGGTTTCCCTAAAAAAAACAGGAAGGTTGGGAGATTGGCCGTGAACACCCTGAATGTCTTGCAGATGACAAAGGTAATGAGTAGGGTGTGGCTGATTATTGAATAGTCTGTGAATTTTCTCTTAAAAAATGCCTTTCTATTCAACAGTAGTTAAACTTCTTGATCCCCAGACCCTGTTATTTCAGCGTTAACTGTTTGCTTGCAATGTTGTGAATGGTGTTGGCTCCCGTTAGCCTCGCAGAGCTCGCATACATCTGTCAGGAGAGTAGTGTTTTAGCTAGCACACAATCCAGATTTGCATGGGTGAAA